CACCCACTGCAAACCTCGGAGAGAAAGCTGCCCTCGCGTTCCGACCGATGCCAGACAGTCCCGCTTCTCCCATTTGAGTCTGGGTCCCTAGAGACTCGCCCAGAACGGGAGCTCAGAATCTGAGACTCCCTTTCGATTGAAAACGACAACCGCGCCCGCAGCTTCCAGCCCGCTCCCTGCGTGCCTCCACACCTTTGTATTTTCCGCACTGCGCCTCCTCTGAGTCTCGTATGCTGTTCTCTTTCCTTCTAGTTGAAGAATTTCCCCTCAGCCAGTCTTCCTGTGGTTCTGGGCTATGTCCGTTCCGTCTTTTAGTTGTATTTTTGAAGTGGTTGTTCGAGGCAGCTAACTCCGGTGTTTACCTATGCCGCCATCTTGGTTTCTCCCGAAGAGTGTTTCTTGAAGCCTTCTGAGACTTACAATTTACGGAGTTGGCTGTTCCTATAGGTTGTGCAGAAAACACCGGTCAGAAAACTGGCCCACCTCCCAAAGGCTAGCTCCTGGCTGTTCCAGAGAGCTGTTCTTTCTCTGAATCCCTGCCCTACTTGTAATTTGGGCCACTTAATGTTCTTTTCTACAGTAGTTGTCTTGGCTCTCCAGCTAAATTGTAAGTTCCTCAAGGGCTGTTACACCTTGTCCGTTGTCTCCTACAGTACCTAACATGGAGCCTGGCCCCCAGTAAGCAATTAGTAAACATTTCTGGGATTGATTGGTTGTTACACAACACACTTATTTTCCCTTGAGGTCACTGCTGCAAAAAAAATTAAAACATTTGGTTATTATTTTCTCTATAGCTATTAAATTTGCTTATTTTTAAAAGCTTTAGTTTTTTAAATAGCTGGTTTATTTTGTTTTCTCACCATTTTATAACACTACACTGCAGGTGCTTTGTTCTTTGCATACATACACACACAGGTATATTAAGTGTTCAAGTGGAAAGTTGCAGCTCTAAATCTCAACATGGAAGATAAGCATGAGAGCTCAGATGGAGCCCACATGAGGGGCCAGGCTTCAGCAAGAGACCACCTGACTTGTCACTTTCAGGCAGGAGTGAGGAACCTTTTTTCTGCCAAGGGCCATTTGGATATTTATAACATCATTCACTTAAAATAATTCACTTTATAAATTTATGTTGTTATGAAAAAAGCTCCTAGATTTATTGAATTTCGAGTCCTACCAGCGGTTGCCTTGGCAGGGCCAGACAAAATGATTTTGTGGGCCTTATGTACCCCACCCCTGTTCTAGGGAGACTACTGCTAAAGTGGTTAAGCACAGGCTGTGGAACCTACAGATCTGGTTCCATGTGTATGTCTCGCTGTCAAGCTGTGTGATCTTGGGCAAGTCCCTTAACCTCTCTCAGCCTCCATATCCCCATCTGTAAAATGTACATAACAGTGGTATCTCGTCAATGGATTATTCTAAGGAAGAAAAAAAGCGATAGGTAGAGAATGGTTGGTGCAGTGCCTAACTTAGTAAGTGCTCAAGAAATGTTCGCTGTCTTTACTATCATTATCATCATTGTTAATGGTAAAAATTAATTTGCAACCAAATATTAATTATCAATTATCCAGTTAAATTGAAGGAAAAGCAGAGGTCTAGGTAAAGCAAAATAATACCCCAAATCTACTGACAACATCTGATACCTTTGGTTCTACAATTAACCAATTTACCTTTTAATCATTTCTCTTGGTTACTGTTAAAATTTGCTCAGTTTTTCTGAGCACACATGGTGAGGAAGCCTAAGATAATCAAAATGATCATGGCTAGGACTTACACAGGTAAGTATAGTTGACTGAATTGTTGAAGCCAGCATGATAAATTCAGAGAGAATCTTTTCCTTCTCATCTGTTTCTTTTAGATGATTCTACAGATTGGGAAAAAGAACTACAGCAGGAACTTCAAGAATATGAAGTGGTGACAGAATCAGAGAAACGAGATGAAAACTGGGATAAGGAAATAGAGAAATTGCTGCAGGAAGAAAATTAACTGTTCACTTAAATAAGAATCCTTAACATTCTGTAACTGACATTAAATTCTAGCTGGTAACCCTCGTTGAATCAAAAGGCACAAAGAGTATAACTTTATGAAACTCAAAATTATTCTTTTTCACATTGAAACTTGCCTCTTTAAAAAATTGATAACTATCAAAATTACCAAATAGTACCAAAGAACTTAAGAGGAAGCACTTTTGGAACTGTTTTCTTGGTAAGTATTTTCTACAATTCCATCTGGAGGCCAAAAGATAAAATAATCCTGTTGATTTTAAAGGTATAAACATCACAAGATTTGCCCTGGCCGGTGTGGTTCATTTGGTTGGGCATTGTCCAGTTAACCAAAAGGTTGTCACTTTGGAAGGCAGCTATGCTCACCACTATACCACCAACGCCAACAAAAGGTTGTCACTTTGATTCCTGGTCAGGGCACATGCATGGGTTTCTCAGGCTTCCATCCCCAGTAGGGGGTGTGCAAGAAGCAGCTGATCAATGTTTCTCTTTCACATTGATGTTTCCCTCTCTCTCCCTCTCCCTCCCTCTATCTTTAAAAGTCAGTAAAAACTCTTTTTCTTTTTCTTTTTTTAAATCACACAATTTGACGAGAAGCACTGTGCAAAAATATTTTTTTCTCTGGGGCCTTTTCTTTCTCATTTCTTTTTAACTATACCACATATAATAATGCTGTTTTTCTAAATTTCTCATCATGGCTTTTATAAAAAGCAGGGCCTCTCATTTTTTTTGTATTAATGACCGTCAAAAGCCTGATCACCTTAACGTCTCTTGTTCTTGTTTAAATTGTCACCACATAGAAATAACTTTGTCTTAATTAAACTGTCAGTCCTCATAAAATTGTGTTCCTCTGAGGACAACTTATGGAACGTCATTGATCAGTCCTACTTGCATTCTGCTAAACTAGAAGATGGTCATTTTAAAAAGAACATGGTGGCTTAACTTCCAAGGCATTTGCTTCCCGAACCCTTCATATTTTTCAAGGAGCCTTTATTTCATAAAGGGGAATAGAATTAAGACAATTCTTTATAAGAAAAATATACACATTAGCCTGTGGTCTTCTGACAAATGTATAGTCAATGAGAGAACTGAGTGTGGGTCCAAGCGTTCATTATTCTTATGTTTGTAGTTTGGGATACACATGTGTGAATGAGCCAGGCTGTCCTCAGCTAGGATGACTTGAATTGTAGCAATAAACTCACATACTCACTCTAGCCGGTTTGGCTCAGTGGAGACTGAGGGGTCCTGGGTTCAATTCCAGTCAAGGGCACGTATCTCGGTTGCAGGCTGGATCCCCTACCTGGGAGGCAACCAAGACACATCGATGTTTCTCTCTTTCTATCTCTCCCCCTCTTCTCTACTCTGAAAATCAATGGAAAAATGTATCATTGGGTGAGGATTGAAAAATAAACTCACATACTCATGAAACCACTGACTCGTTATCAAGAGATTTCCACTGTGTTGCCACAGTTGCTGATTACTGATTTTGGGTTCACAGATGATAATTGGCAGTTTCTGAAATAATGCTATTAAAGGGAAAGGTTTGTTTATTTGTTCAAACAGAGTTTGCTGGAGGGATAGAAACTTGCTAAATGTTTTGAAGTTGCTGAAAATCCTAGATATAAGCAGATCAGGATATGACAGTGTTTGGCTCTTAATATATGCTCTAAAATTGTTATTGATGAATGTTGAATAAATACCAAAAAAAGGTTTCAGAGAAAGTTAAAAACCTAAAGTGACAATAGAAGAATGTTACTGTTGTTACTGTCAATTTTATGTGATACTCATTGCATTTAAAAACAACCTAATTGTGCATTGCCCTTTGAGGGGGAAAAAAGGATAAATAAGATTATACACAGCATAAAAATAGGCTGTATTTTTATGGATTCATCAAGGAGTAAAATGTTCTTTTGTAAATTATACAGGTAACTGAAGTGTTACTCCTTTAAAGGGCAAAATGATTTGTAACCATGTTTGGTGGAAAATTTCTGAGTAATACATGCCTGGGGCTTAGCCAACAAGGTACACTGAGCATAAAAAACACACATAAACTTCACAGAATGTTCAAATATGCACATACTTCATCACACTACTCACTGCTGGCTCAGGAACCAGTATGAGCTGCCTGTCCTGGGAGTTTGTTAGAAATGCAGGGTCTCGGGCCCTGCCCCACACCTGCTGGTCTAGACTCCATGGAAGTTACAATGGTCTTTAAGGGTGAAATGCACTGGACTAATGTACTGATGCAGTTGAGAATTCTGGTGCTTTTTACTTTTTGCCGAACCACTATCATCCTTGGCTGACAGTATCTTTCTAGTTACAAGTGCCTCCTCTGCTGTTCAGTCGGTACTCACTGCCCACTTCCTTTCCACACTGCCAAATTAAGGGGAGCCAAGTCCCTAGGGGAACACAAATAATCCTGTGAAATCAGATGTTTCTCATATGCACATTTCTAAGGAAAATGATGACACCAAGAAGCACAGAAATGAGGCTCTTGGAAACATTTTACGTGTTTGAGACATTTCTCTGAGCTGCTCGGTGGCATCCAAGGCCTGATGCACCCTGTAGGCTGTAAAGGATGAATGACCTGTGTGGCATGTTTATGCACATGAAATCAAATACAGAGATAGTTGAAAGGTAGTAGAACATCAAACTAAGTCTTTAAAGCCTGCTTTAGGTGCATGGAGCAATATTATACAAGAAATAACATCTACTTTTTCATGGTTATAGCAGTTCGTGGCAAGCATGTCAAATCAGCTGAGTTGACCAGTTTTAGCAGAAGGTTGTGCTATGCTATGGCAGACTCGGGTACATCATCACAGTTTCCTTATATACTCAAAAGTGGGAAATCTCAAATTGTAATTTGTGAAATGTTAAACTAGAGAAGCTTTTAGGAAATAAAGCAGCAGTTATACTTGTACTCACAGTGCTTTCAAATGCGCTATACCCAAGATGGTTTTCCATGATCAAAATAGTGTTATAAAGAGGATTTTAGAACATGTTAAAGGTTTACCAAAAGAAAACTAATGATTACGTTCAACTTGCAATATTTTATTTGCGTCGACTGCTTTGCTATAAAAGCTAGGACTCTGCTTCTATAATTTAAATAATTTGATAGGGTTGCTCTTTCTGGTACTAAATTTTTTCCTCCATTTTTAAGTAAACATTTTTCAACTATAAAATAGGGGAGTTTAATTTTAGCAAATTTTGTTTTTGGCTTTTAAAATTATGTGGTAGAAATTTTGATATAGTTTATATAATCAGTTTTATTCAGAAGAAAACAGGCCATTTTAATAAGTGATTACTTCTATACATTGATAAGAACAAGTTACAAAATGCATGTTACAGTACCCAAAAATGAAGACAAATATGCAGGGTGTGTGTGTGTGTCATGTCACACACACACACATATACATATATATATATATACTTACACACACACACACTTTAACTGCTGATAGCTCAATTGATGTTTCTTTTCAGATTTAACCCATTGGAATTAATTATTCAAAGTGTGTATATATTTTTGGGACACCCTTTATATTAATCAAGCTTTGATCACATGCAGTTATATATTTCTTACAAATCATCAAACTATCTGGTCTTCACACTATGGGATTTGTTTAGATAAAGGCATTTATGATTTCAGTTGTTAAACTTTATTTTTTTACAGCACTTATTCAATGTGTCCTGATTTATTTCCAATATGGAAAACTATGTTATATTTATTCTGAAGAAATAAACCTCACTTTTAGTGGTAAGATATGTTATAATGGTTTTTCCTGAATAACTAAAAATTCTATTCTGGTAAAGAGGGCCTGCAAATATTTCAGTTATCTGGTATGTAGGCTCCTATTGTTAGAATTAAAACTGCTTTGAAATAGTGTTAAATCTTAACACATTTTACTTTCATTGTAGACTTCTACTCAAATGCAGCAGGTTGTCCATAATAAAGGTCATTCCAATTCACAGTCAGTAGGACTGTTGACTCAGACTTATTGTGGGATTGTTCCCTCCTCCAGTAGTGATGATATAGAGGGGTGGGCAAAAATAGGTTTACAGTTATAATACAAATAATACAATAATATAAATAACTAGAGGCCCGGTGCACGAATTCGTGCATGGGTGGAGTCCCTTGGCCTGGCTGGCAATCAGGGTCGATGGGGGCCATCTCACCCAGTTGGGACCGGCCAGCTGGAGGGAGGGACCGTGAGAGGTTGGCTGTGGAAGCACACTGACCACTAGGGGGCAGCTCCTACGTTGAGCGTCTGCTCCCTGGTGGTCAGTGTGCGCCATAGTTACTGTCTGATCATAACTATCACTTAGGCTTTTATATGTATAGACTAGAGGCCCAGTGCTTGACATTTGTGCACGGGGGTGAGGGGGTGTCCCTCAGCCCAGCCTGCGCCCTCTTGCAATCCAGGACCCCACAGGGAGCAGGTCTAAGCCAGCAGTTGGACATTCCTCTCGCAGTCCGGGGCTTGCACAGTCCAGGACCCCTCGCTCCTTACTGCCCGCCTAAAGGGGAGGCAAGGGAGGCTCCCGCCACCACCGCTGCGCTCACCAGCTGTGAGCCCGGCTTCTGGCTGAGCGCACTCCCTTTGTGGGAGCACACTGACCACCAGGGGGCAGCTCCTGCATTGAGTGTCTCCCCCTGGTGGTCATTGCGCATCATAGCAAACGGTTGTTCTGCCGTTCAGTTCATTTGCGTATTAGGGTTTTATTATATGGGATAATATAAGAATAAGCTCTGTTTCAGGTACTCACAACTGTAAACCTACTTTTGGCCATGCCATATATTGATCTATCTTGTTCTTTCCTAATAACTATGATGAGCACTTTCTGCTGGCTAGAGCTAACACTCAACAAGGTTAACCAGATCCTGTAAGAATTAAGCCTGTTCTCAATAAAGCTGTAAAATTAAACCTGTGAACTAGTAAGTAGAGATTATAGTTCAATTCATAATGGAGAATTTTGGTTATTGCTAAAGTATGCACATTATAATAATAATAATAGCCATTAAGTGTCCAATATTCTCTGCCATTACTGCACTTAGACAC